TCTCCTGTGTGTTTGGCCCCAGAGGAGCTCGCAGGCTACTCTGTGACTGAATCCTCCTTGGATAGGAATTCCTTCGATGTACAAGCAGAATGTATCTGGTCATGTCTGGTCGTTTGCTTTTTTCTTGAGGCAGGAGGTTAATTTACAATCTTCACCCCCCATGAATACCCCTTGATTAATTTACTAATGATATATAGGTCGGTTTTACATCGGCATTCATGTCACTTCGGTTGGCCTCTTGCTCTAAGGCTCCTCAGGGTACACCGGCACAGCGTCTGTGGAGGTGTGCACTTCAGCTCTTACTGCCTACACACTGAGGGGATGCGATCGTATAGCCGTGTGCTTTGCTCCAAGAGATGTGGACGGCTATGTCCTAACAGAAACATCCATGGCCATAGACTCCTTCAATGTTCAGGCCAAATGCGCCTTGGCAGGAGGAGGGCACATTGTTTTCTTGTTGCGAAGATAAGATGCGCATAATTATGTGTTTTTTCTTGTGCCGAGCTTTCTCCCTTCTGCATTCTCTCCCGCTTTAAGCCTGTGATAGTGTGGTTATGAACGAGATGGAAATTACATGGAGAGCAGGTGCTAAAGCCGCATTCAATGTGCGTCTACCCACAGGTTCCGGTCGCCAGTTACTGCCTCTTGAGGAAAAGAGTCGCCAGTTACAAAAGTTAAACAAGTCCACAAATCCTTTTCATAACTAGTAGCTTCTTGTTACTAGTAGCGATGGCCTCTAACCTACTTGCGATGGCCTCCACCTAGTAGCTTCTTGCTACCAAAACATATAGAACGACGTACGACATGGATATGGAAAAAGTACGCGGGATGAATGGATGAACGACAAGGTCTCAAGTTGGTGAGGTTTGCAACTCGGAGCGAACCTGGACCCCCTGGAGATGTATTTGAGGCCGCCAGCTCTAAATGTCGTGGAAGGCTTCCAAGATCTTGAAGATCTGCCAGAGAATCGAGCTGGACTTTGGCCGATTCAGAAACCAAGCGAGTCCCGATTCAAAAACCAAAGCAGCCGATTCAGAAACCAAAACAGCCGCTTCAGCAACTACGATTCAGAAACCAACAGGGGCGTGGGAACCATGGCCAAGATAATAACGTTCGATGTGGCAAACGGAAGGTCACAGCACCGTCTCAACCGAGCCCCGCCCGACCTGGGGAAAAGGCGTTACGAAGAGAGATTCTGGCGTTGCTCTGAGAAGTGAATGTGCATCGGTGATTGGGTCATCAGTTTTTCCCTTTTTGAACTAAATATTGGTTACAGATGAACAATTGAGCTTTGGTTATACCGAATCATAGTTACCGAATCATACCTTGTGCTTACCGAATCAGACGTCGACCATGGAGCTGTCAACTCTTTCAAAGTGAAAACTTTACTAAACATAAAGCAAACAAATTCAACGCATATGAGGAGGAATCGCAAGAATCAGGCCAAACAGAGCGTGGAAGAAACATAATTTAGGAGGATCTGAATTTCCACAGCAGCATGCAGCATGAAGCAGCATGTCACCATGGGCGCACTGCATCTAGCCTTGTACTGCGCACCGTTTCGGCCCTGGAGGGCGCCCTTTAGCCAAAGGACAAGAGCCGCATTGCCAGCGCGCCGCCGGTGCGTTTTTGATGGTAAGCGGAGCTCCCTGTCCAGGGGGGCGACGCTTGCGGCGCCTGTGAGCATGCCGTTCTCGCGCCCCACTCCGCCTTGCCCGCTTCAGCCCTATAACCCGCTGGCGGCATCCACGAAGTTCCCGAAAGGTTGAGCTTGGACTACGATGTCTTCTACCTCTGCCACCAAGCAGCTGCAGACAGATCGGTACGGAGTACCGCAGTTTGCTGCAAAAGTCGAATTGGTCGGAGCTTGGGACCTTTACTATGGTCGAGATAAGATGCTCTACAAGCCTCCACGCCCTTGCACCTCCTACCCCAGCTGAGCGACGCAGCCTACGAAGCTGAAGCTGTGCGGAAGCTCGACCACACCAAGCCTCGCACCAAGACTTCCGAAGGGAAGCCAACCGAAGAAGGCATGAAGCTCCTGATCAAGACACTTCGTGACAGTCTTGCTCAGGAAGCTCCGGTCCGTGTCAACGAGCTGTTCCTCGACTACTTCTACAGTGGTCAGTCTTGGAGCAAGCCCAATGAGACGATGGCTCAACGCATCGTCCGACGCGAGACCACCTTCGTCTGGTTGAAGGAGGCAAGCCCTGAGACCGCTCTCTCCGACAACCTCAAGTGCATGCTGCTCCTGATCTTCTCTGGTTTGGAGCCGAGCATCCTCGCCAGCGTCGGCGACGAGTATGACTACAAGAAGGTCAGCCATGTGCGGGTTCAGTTCCCGACCAGCCTGTCGTTCGCAAGGACTACCTGCGCGCTGGCCGCGGCGGTCAGCAGCTCCACGGAAGCTCGATGGAAGCAGTTTCCTCAACGCCAGAAGCAAGTCTTGGCGGCTGAGATCGACGATGAGTTTCATACTGGGAAGATGATGACTATGCCCAGGAGGATGACGCCTACCTTGGCAATATCAACGATGAGAGCTTCGTCAACAAAACTCTGATGGTGAAGCCCTTGACTCCTCAACGAGATCGCAGAGGACCTTGAAGGCTCAGAAGTGGCTGAGGCCTATGCCACGATTGCTCAACACCGCGGCGGATTCAAGAAGAAGTTCGTCAAGCAACTGCAAGAGAGCTCTTCATCCCAGAGTTTTCCCTTCAAGGCGCGCCAAGGATCAGCGCAAGGCCACCGTCAACTTCCTCAAGGGTATGACACAGTGCGCTGCCTGTGGCCAGCGAGGTCACTGGATTGGAGACAGCGACTGCCCTCGCAGTGGAAAGAAGGGAAAGGAAGAATCCTGAAAGGGAAAGGGAAGTCAGTCTTCATCCTCGTCACCAAAGAAGGCAGCTTCACCGCCCAAGAAGAGCAGCTCCTCCTACTTTGTCTTGCGCAAGCGTATTGAGTCTGCTGACGAAGAGAGGCCAAGACCTTTGCGACACAGAATGCCACGCCCTCGGCAGAGACCTCTCTTTGACGGACCTGCCAACTGGATGCCCATGGACAGTTTGTCACCGAAGAGCAAGACCTTTGAGGTACTGATGAACCTTCGCAGCCCGAAGGTCTGTGAACATGCTGTTTGTCACGGTGGGAAAGAACGCGCCTACCACCCGAGCACCAATGGCCACAGTCGTTAGATCACCTGCAAGCAGTGTGAGACCACTGCGATCCAGGCTAGCCGGCTAGCCGTAACGATGCTGCGCAGCTTTGGGGCTACTTGGTTCAAGTTCACCACCGGTTGCCGCTGGACCATATCCTGCATTGAGAGGATCACCTTCTTCGCCTACCTCATCTTCTACGCCTGAGAAGCCGCGTGGTGATGAATGGGGTCTACTCTCTCAAGCCGGATCAAGCAACTCGAAGCCAATGGTTGCCAAGAGTCTGTGCGCGTTGCCACTGCAAACTTGGCTACGGGATCTGTTTGTTCCCTGAGAAGGTCACTCCTTCGGTCTCCGAACTGGCCAAGGACTTTCATCGAAGTGTCTTCGCTGCCCGAGTTCAGCTGGTTTTGCGCAACAGCCATCACGCATGCCTTGCAGAACGAGCTGGTCTATTGGTTTGCCTTCTACATGCACTGCAACGTCCAGTTGATCTACCAAGCGGGCATGCGTCTGATGAAATCCTGCAGCTCGACTGCCGATATGGCCAGAATACCCGGGCGGAGCACAAGTGCCATTGCGAGCGGATCCAAACGACCCATGCTGATACTCCTGCCAGATCCGCTTACTGTGATGTCATGATGGCTGAGCATGAGGATGAGGAGGACGACGCCGAGCGCTACTCCTCCACCTTTGCTTTCACCGCTCAGCAGAGACTGAGGGATCAACTCCAACGCTGATCTCAAGACCCTTCATGGCAGAGCTTGGCGCAGTGATGAGCTTCAAGAATGGCCCCGTCTCATTTGACGCACTCGCTTTGATCAGGGCTTCACGTGGACACATGGCCATCAGCCTCCTCAACTTCCAGGACAACGAAGAGTTCTTCAAGAAGTTCGCGCCCAACGAGGGGCAGCTCTGCACGTGCAGTGAACACCGCAGGAGCCATGTCCGCTGAGCCGAATAGCAATGAGCCCGTCAGCAATGAACGCACAAGTTCACCAACAAGAAAGGAAAGAAGATCCACAACGTGGACATGCTGGTCGCTTCCGATGACCTTGCAAAATCCCCCCGACTCAAGGGAGCTACTCCTCCTCGAGCGCGACGACGACCGCCGCCATGTGGCCGAGTTTGGTTGAGGCAGCTTTTTGCCGGACAAATGGGCCTCATCACACTCATGGCCACGCTTTTTTGGCATGATGGCTGGAGTCCCGTTGGACATCTCCATTGATCCAACTTGGGATGCGACAAGCTCCAAATTGATGAAGCGTGTGCATTCAGACATGCAGGCTGAGGACCCTTACTGCGCAGTTCTCACACGCCCGTGTGGCGCTTGTGGCAATTGATCCTGCTTCAACGTTGCCAAGGGTGGCGCAGCTCAGGCGACGGTTCTTTCTCTACAAGAGGAGTCACGACCCCTTCTCAAGATGGTCGCAAAGGTGAGTGTTGATCGCGTCAAGGCCCGCGACGTCTTTGTGGAGCAGCCCTTTGGTTCCGACAGCGTTGAGGAGCTGGAGATGAAACCTGTCCGCGGGCTCATCGCAAGCGGACGCCTCCTTGCTCTGAAGGTCGGTGGCTGCGTGGTCGGCTACAAAGACGCAGACATTGGAAAGCCCAGCAACAAGCCTTCCGTCTATGAGTCTATATCACATCAATGCTCTTGATTGACAGAATCAGTGTTCCAGCAATTGCAGATGCTCTTGCGCCGTCCCTCATCAACCACTTGAAGGTGCCAACTCTCGTGGCCCACGAACTGCTCAGGCGGCCGAGTGGCCACAGGAATTGAATCGTTTGGTCATTGATTGCGCTTTGCAGCAGGCCAACATCGAGACCGATGTCTTCAAAGAGCCCTCATGGGCGCCCGAATTGGATCCGGTCTCAAAAAGAGTTGATCGCAGTCACCAAGTGCTGCCCCCATAGAGGGACAAGTGCTGCCATTCTCAATCTATCATTACCAGAGGAACGCAATGGAGATCCAGCTACGGATGCACTCATAGAGGCGAAACTTGGGACAGGGAAGCGCCATAAGTTTTGCTGGCCAAGCCGAGAACGGAGGTCGACTCTCCTTGCCCATTGACGGAGAGACCTGTGGAGTCCCTCGATTTTCAAGGATATGGCGACGATAATCCAATTTTGTTTTTGGGTACTTGACAAAAACCGTCTCTGGAGGCAGGCCGTTCTAATGGACGCTTTTTGAGTGGCGGGGCGTGGAATGAACATGACGGGATATGGCACGTCAAAAGTCATTTCGGTTCGTCGCAACTATTAGGCCTTTGATTCATTGACTGACGCCTGATTCGCCGTTGGACCAAGAGAAGACACAGAGTAGCGGGAAAGAAGGGAAGAAGGTCAAGATCCAGGGTGAGACAGAAACACCCGCACACCCACACAGATATATAGTATATAGGGCAATATGACACGATAGGTATATATATATGATATATGGTATGTAAATATTTGTATATACGTACATAAGTGCACACCCACAGCAGGTTTCGCGAGACCACGCCCACGCGCGGCGAGCTTTCAGAGGATGTTGGAACAGGAATGAAGGAAGATGTCAATCCCAGCATTGGACTTGAGCAGGCTGGCGCAACCTGCGGCCAAAGCTGCTGGTCCATCAAAAACTGCAGGACTTTCTTCTTCTTTGCTGATTGCAAAAAATCAGTAATTGAAAGGAGTGAGGACTAGAGCAGCTAAACAGTTTTTGTTGTGTTTAAGGATGCTATTGGGTGACAAACATCAGTGTACATTTTGCACCATTGCTTTCTTGCTGTGGCTCCTTGTCAATTTTGCATCCGAACTTTCCGAAAGTGGTGGGTGTGTCAAGTTGGAGCAGTTGGGACCTGGCGGTGTTGTAGGCCTAAGGTCACGTATGGCAGAGGTTGAGGTAAGGAAAGCGAGGCCTGAGGACTCCGTCCGCGCTCAGTTAGTTTCCTTGAAATCGCAGAGCGAGGCAAAGCAGGACGCTGCCATCAAAGATGGTTGTTCAAGTGGCATCCTGATCGAAACCCTGTGTTTTGGTTGAACGACAGGGAGGCGATGTGGAAGGTATTACCCAGACTTTGTTTTGAAAGTCAACTGGGTTTTACAGGGTGAGGTTTTGAGCGAATGTCGAAAGACCAGGAAAATGCTGAAACAGCCACTTCCATCTTCCAGTTCATCCAGCAGGATGGGACACAAGGAAGCAGAACTATAGGTGGTGCTGAAATGAACATGACCGAAGGAGTCAGGCGTCGTCATGAATGGCTCCAAGTGGACGCCGGCCTCCGCAAGACCTTGAGAGACCTGCGTCTCCAGTTTGGTTCTCTGGAGGCAAAATGCCAAGAAAGAAGTGATCAGGGCAGCTGGTCTTATGAGCTGCGATGCATGTGGCGATTCAATCGTCCACGACCAGTTCGCCTACCAAACCAGTATGACCGTATGAGTTCAACCGACACCTTCTCCTGGACACGTTCTACGCCAAGGACATCACAGGTGCCACCTTGACGCCGCTGGATTCCAAGCAGCTTCCTGCCTTGGAGAACTTCAGGCTCCACCATCTTCCACTGCAGCGCCTCGCCGTTTCACTACTTGCGGGAGTGCGCAGGTTTACCGCATTCACTCCAAGTTGACCGTGGCAAGGAGTTCACGGCTGTCTTCAGTGACTACCTTTAGGATCCCGCGGTCCCAGACAGCAAGGGGTCAAGATGAAAAAAATAAAAAACAACAACCTACTCAAAAACAACTCAGACCAGAAACTCAGATTCCAAAGCCACTCAAATGAGAGACTCAAATTGGACTCAGATTGGACTCAAATTGGACTCAGGTTGGACTCAAATTGGACTCAGATTGGACTCAAATTGGACTCAGATTGGCTCAAATTGTACTCAAACATGGTTTTTGAGTTGTTTTTGAGTTTTTTTGAGTTGTTTTTGAGTTTTTTGAGTTTTTTTTTGAGTTTTTTTGAGTTTGTTTTTGAGTTGTTTTTGAGTTTTTTTTTTGAGTTTTGTTGTTGAGTCTGTTTTGGATTTGAGTTCTTGAGTTGATTATTTTTTGATTATTTTTTGTTTTTATTTTTTTCAAAGATTTCAGCCCTGTCTGGGCACCACGTGATCCTAAGACTACCTGAAAGACTTTGGAGTTGAACAAGAAGTGATGCCACTTGAAGCTCCGTGGAAAGGTGGCAAGAGTGAACGCGCCGGAGGCCTCTGGAAGAGCTTGTGGGAGAAAGTCGTTTCTGATGGATGACGTGGCCACCTCACTGGTGAAGCAGACTCGAAAGTCTCCCAGGAGGACAAGCGGGTACTCGCCTATCCCATGGGTTCTTTTGGCGTTCTGAACTACGTCTTCCTGGATCACTACTAATAGCTCAACGTTTGGAGGTCACGGAGGCCGCTGAAAACCCATCATCAAGTCAAAGATGGCTCGCGCCCTGGCCATTCGTGAAAGTGCACGAGTTGCTCAGATCCGGATCGACACTGACGCCAGAGTTCGCCAAGCACTACAGACCAAGTCAACTCCAACACGACTATGTGTACTTCAACAGGATGCAGCCTCAACCTGGTCAACAACGCCAGTAGCGATGGTTTGGCCCTGCGCGCGTCATTGGAGTCGAGCTCAGAAATCCAAGACGACTTGAAGATGCTGATCCTGGCACTGAAGGTGGATCACCGCACTTCTACTGGATCCGTTTCGGCTCCAGCTCACTGGCGAGCAAACGCACTTTGCATCTGAAGATGAGCTACTTGCTGCCCACTGCGCCCCTCACTATGCAGTACAAGGAGACCGAGGGGCAAGGTCCTTCATCGATGCAGGGCGCGGCCATCAGGACACAGCGCTCCACTACCACCTCCTGCCAAGGATGACGATGAGCAAGGCCACCATGCAGAGATCGTCGCCGGAACCTCATTCAGTCCCAGCTCACTCTGCAAGCCAACAGTCATCACCACCGCGACCAGGAGCGCCAGATCAACTACCGCCAGTTCCGGAAGAACCGGATGATGATTTGGCAGAACTTGAGGAACCACAACAACAGGCTCCAGCACCACAACAACAGCTCCAGGCTCCACAGCCATTACCAAGACAGTTCAGCAGAACCAGGGCCACCTCCATCAGCAGCGATGACACCAAGAGCAGTCATCTCAGCAACGCCACGACCGTTGCAGACTGCACTCAGAAGGCCAGATCGCCTAGATGGACATGGCCCAATTCGTGTAAATCGCTCCGTCGACCACACTGGTCCATTGAGGAACCACCACCACCACCACCACGACAGGGCATCCTCCGTGGCATCGACGCCGCTGTGAAAGAAGGAAGATGGAAGCAGCTTGACGATGACTATACCACTGTGATAGTTGGTTGGAAGCTGATGATGAGTCGGAATATGAGGCCTACATGGTCAACCCCAACCCTCACGGCAACGCTGTCCGCTCTCAGCTGTGATGAGAGCATGCGAAGAGAGTGGGAGTCATGGAACAAGTTCCAAGCCGTTGAGGAGTTGACCGAGGAGGAGGTCAACAACTCCCAGCCGGCGCCAAGATCATCGGCGCTCGGTGGGTCCACGCCGGCAAGAACAGCAAGCCTCGCCTGATCGCCTACCACATGGTGAAGAAGACCGGCAAGACCAAGGAGCAAGTTGACAAAGAGTATCCCTCTGCAGCAAAATCAAGATGTGTTGTCCAAGGATGCCAAGAAGATGGACACGGCGTGCTGCCTTCAAACCATTGCCGCCATGAAGAGTTGGGCGATCGCTTCATTTGACGCAGCATATCTCCAGTCACAGTGCGTCTCAAGGCTCCTGATCTTGAGAGCAGCGAGGCCACTTCCACCAGGAGTACGACCAGGCACTTTGTTTAGCGCCAAGGGCAGCGTCTATGGAACCAAGGATGCTGGCAGAATCTCCTTCGAGACGCTCAAGCCGTGGGTTGGATTCAATGCAAGCTGGAGTAAAGCGATGTTTTTCCCCTATGACGAGGACAATGTGAACCTCGTCGGCATCATGGCAAGCCACGTGGACGACCTCATCGTTTGCGGTTCAGGTGAAAAGTATGAAGAACCCATGGGAAAGCTCCCTGTCGAACTCCACCTCAAGAAGAACGCCAAGAAGTTCCGTTTCTGCAGCAAGAACCGTGTCCAACGCGAGGGCTACAGCGTCTCCCTCGAACAGGTCGATGCCATTGAGGCCTTAGAGTATACCTCGACAAGCGTGTGGGATGGACTGCGCGGCAAACACGGCTCGGCTGGACAGCCAGGTCAACGTGAGCGTTGCCTCGCAAACTATATGGGTCACCCAAAGATCAAGGACGCGATCGCCCTGAACAAAGCAGCCAAACTTCCCAAGGACAGTTCAGATGCGCTTTGGTGCTTCATTAAATCCGATCTCAGTCTGGAAAACTGCATGGTCTTCGGCTGTGCAGATTCCTCCTTCGCCAACGCTGAGGGCATGAAGTCCCAGCGCGGCTATGTGACCGGCGTCACCACCAAAGACCTCACAGAGGGCAAGTCCGCTCCAGCCATGATCTTGGAGACCAACTCCAGCTCCATCAAGCGTGTGTGCAGGAGCACGCTAGCAGCTAAAGCAAATGGCTTCCTGGCTGGAGTGGAAGTCACCATCTCTGTCAACGCCCTCATCCGGGAGATCCTCGACCCCGGACTGCCACTTCGCACACAGGTTGCAGGGTTCAGCAACCGTAAGGTCCTGGCGTTCACACATGCAAAAAGCTTGGAGTCCACGCTGACCAAAGATGCTGGCCAGCTTGAAGCTCCTCACGGCCCAGATCCGCGAAGCCTTCCTAGGCCTCCCAGGAGAAAGCTCGAAAAGAAGAGCGCGGAAATTTCTGAGGACAGGTCTGAATTTCCACAGCAGCATGCAGCGTGAAGCAGCATGTCACAATGGGTGCGCTGCGTCCAGCCTTTTACCGCGCACCGTTTCGACCCTGGAAGGCGCCAGCGCGCCGCCGCTGTGTTTTTGAATGATGTTATGGGCGCTCTACATCACGGTTGGGTTTTGAGCTGCAAAGATGCCCATCAGCAGGGTACTCATGGGAGACGTGAGACCACATGAGAGCACGCCTGCGGCAAATTAGAAACCCAAGCAAACAAGTGAAAGGTGCTTGCCCAAAGCCCGTCCCACCTGTCACCACACACCTCCACCGTATTTGTGGAACCATAAAAGACCCTAAGAGAAACCGCAAGAGACCCAAAAGTCGTAACCCTGTTGGTTCGTCCAGGTGATGTAGGTTAAGGTCGTGAAAATATGTGCAAAGATGCTACGGTAACGTAGTAAGTCTTGATTAGTAAGGCTTGAACCACGCTTGCAATTTCATCGGAAACTGCAGTGGTTTTGCAGCAACTACACAGACATATAGGAGGACAACTTGGAGGACACAAGGTTAGACAACACACACACACACACAAACATGAAAACTTAGAAGAAAAACTGAAAAACAGAAAGAACCATCTAACGACAAAACACGACAACAAGAGGGCGACACACTATGGGAATCCATAGGATTTTTTTTTTGAGGTGCCGCGGGTTATCATGGAACCGCTGTCGCTCGAGTTTGCAGCGCAGCTTTGCAATCCTACAGCTTGAGTGGCTGTCAAAAGCGGTAGAGATGCCGGGGCCCAAAGGGTCACAGAGTGGTGTCACAAGGGTCCACAAAATCGATGGTCGCTACGTGTCGGCGACAAACAAAAGGCCAGACTGATGCGTGTTGCTGTGTTTCTTTCCATTTTCGACACTCGATTCTGCCAAGAAGCGAAAGAAACCAAAGTTCCGAGAACCGTTTTCGCAAGCGATTCGATTGTGGTCTTGGCTCAAGTGGCGTTCCTCGTTCCACTCTCATTTCTGCTTCGTGGTTACGGCGAAGGCACCGGTTTCAAGGGTTTCCATAAAGTCAGAACAAGTCAACTTGATTTTTTGCTGCACCTTTGTCACTTTGCTTACCAATCTCCCATTTTTTTAAAGCGCCTCGTTGCGAGGAAATCTGTACTCAATGAAGCTGATCATTCTGGTCGTGCATCTCATCCTCACCTTGGGTGCCAAGTATCGGTCGATTCCTGATACCCACCTCGCTGCTGTGAACACGACAAAGGTTGAGTCAGACGTGGCAGAGACACAGGCAGCAGACGAAGAATCGGATTCAGATTCCGATGTTGCAACCGTGGACGAACAATCGGACGATGCCTCAGAACAGTCTGAGTCAGACTCCGTGTCCGATGCAAGTGACGCAAGCGAGACCGACTCTGGAGACGTTGACACGGATGCTCGGACAGTATCGACGTTGCTGAGATAATAATATGTTTTATACTAGTTTCTTGTTACTACTAGTAAGGCACTTGTTCCTAGAAGCGTGGCACTTGTTACTACTAGCTTATCAATATTTTATATGGACTATTCCATATCTATCTATACTCCTGTTGTGCGCCTGAGAATTTCAACTGTGCTTTGAGGATGCGAACATGCGCAATGTAAGCTTTCTGGAGATGAGCATGAAGGAGACACGTCGCTTGCCCAGGATCAGATGGGAGCAGAATTGCTAGGCAATTCCACATCGAGTCTTTGGAGCTTGTGTGTGCGAAACATCAGGGTTCAAAACTTTTCGTTGTGTTGGTGTTCTTGCGCAGATTAGTTTTTGTCAGACCTTCAGCCAAGGAATCCAAAACATTGTTGGGGTGGGCAACGTGCTAGTCAGGGATGATGTGAAAGAAGGTGTGTGGGTCCTCTTGATGAAGTTGAGCAAGAATCTTGCCAGAGAGAGATTGCACGACCGGATCAGTCTGAAGTTGGTCCTTTGCGGCTTCGTGTGCTCGGTGTCGCATCTCACCCATCGGAAAGAATTTGTTTCGCTTCGCTCGATTTCGCTTCACTTCGCCACGTGACACCCAGGAACGAATTCTGCCACAACAGTCCCAGGTGAGGAGACGAGCTAGAGAGAGAGAATCGAGAGAGAGAGAGAGAGGGAGAGTCGACTACAAATCGAACCCCCAAGGTGGACCGATGGAAAAGGTTTCAACGAAGACAAGATGTTGGACGAGAACCTTCCAAATCACAAGGCGGGGGCAAGCTGCCGCCAAGTCGAACCAAGAGCAAGTGGGACCAGTTTGTTGCTTAGTGTTCCGCGGAGCGACTTGGAAACCGAAAGCCCATGATGAATTGTCATAATTGTCTCAAGATCTTCTAGTCTCCGAGATTTGCTCCATTCACTTGTCTCCATTGAATGAAGTTGTCTCCATTCACTTTCATCTCTCTACAGACTGCTCTTTCGATTCTCCCTATGTTTTGCGCATGAGCTTCTTTGGGCTTGTCCCTGTGCGCGCCACCACTTTTTTTTGCACAGATCCTTCCAGTGGGTTGCATCAAAAGGATTGAACATGAGCAAACCTTAGGTCTGAGGAAACAGCACAAGCTTCAAGCGATCGTCAAAGATAGACTGTGGCGGGCCAGTAACTGAATAGAAAGGTCAGAAGCAAGGTCAAGAGATTGGATATTGACAATGACTCTTAGAATTTACAGATTGGAGTTGCTTCCTCAAGACTTAGGATTTGGATATAGAGGGTTGTTCGATGCAGCAAACACCACGGAGAAGCGAAGGGTTTCCAGTGGTTTGAATGCGCTTATTATATATAGTATAGAGCCTTTCACTTGTCCTGACGTATCAAGTCTAAGGATTGTTGGGTTCTCAAAGAGAATTGAACGGCCACCTATATCCTAAATGCTCGTTGCTAGCTCGTCGACTAAGGCGCGCAGATGTACAAGGTTACGATAACGATAAGTGATAAGTTAGCCGGGGGGGCAATAGGCGTCATTGCTCCTCCCATCCATTCATACACACCTCCAGCCACCAAACGCACACATACGATTGGCCTATCCTAATTTGCCTGCGCCCACCCAAAACCCCACCACCCACATGTAAGTTCCCCCATCGCAGTAAGGTGTTGACATGTACATATTATAAATGATGTATGATATAAATGTATGTCATGAAATTGGCACGACCTCCCTTCTTCCCTTTCCACCACATTTGTCCCTGCTGCTCACGCTCTCTTTCTTCTCCTCGTCTCTTCCGGTTGAGGGTCCCTGTCCTCTATATGGCGCAACACCACGGCCGCGTCCCGACCACCACGGCTGCTCCCTGAGCTTAACAGTGGCTGTCGGGATTCGATCATGGACTGCTTGGTTTGGTCGTGGAGATCTTGTTCACGTTCGCGGGCTCTCTTCAAGATCTCTGTCTCCATGACACTATATTTGGTTGTGGGGAGGGAAACAGCTTCACACTTGGTCAAAGCGAGTTAAGCTCAGTGAGTCCACCGCAGCTTGATCCTCTCAGAGAAGATCCTTGATTGCCACCGTTGAACGCGGAGTTGAATTCAGAGATGCAGTTCAGGTTGTGAGATAGCAAGGATTTGTAATCTGTGACGATGGGTGTCATGATTAGCTTTGACAGTGGGCACGGAAACAGGTTCAGGGACCTGTGGAAGACAGGACACTGTTCAGCTTGCTTCCATTCTGCATTGGCCTCCAGCGCGTTTTCTTTTTGTGCGAGGTGGGTGACTGGCACGAATGCACTGTTCTTGTGATAGGCCCACCCATTCTTCCCTTTGGGTTTAATTTTGGCTTGCTCCGTTGACCGCAAAAGTACAGCGTTTTGGAGATCAGGCTTCTTGGGAACCAAGGTCCTGTCTGTCGTTTGCAACCGACTTGCACGACCTTTAGTCGGGAAACACATCTTGCATCATTCAACGTATTTTGGCGCCTTCAAGTTCGGGTCTTCCTACCAAAGGAAGCGCTTGGTCAGCCTATTTCAACAACCCCTGCACATATCCTGTGTTTGCGGCTTCTTTGGGTAGGAGTTTTCTTCTGTGGATATGTGTTTCCAAAAACTTTGAGGATCAGCGGTGCGTGTGCAAGCCGAATCCGTTCTTGCGGTGAAAGAATTATTTGTGTGGCTTACGCTTCTGAATCCGTTTGGGTCGACGTCAACGCTTGACTTCTGCGCTGTGTGACGCTGAGGACTGAGTAGGACCGAGGACCGCTGGTGGACAGTCAAGGCTTCTGCGTCCGGCTGCCTAAACGGCGACTCCCGTGAAGACTTGGTGAGCGCATGGGCAAGTCGGGCAAAGCGACGGTATGTAGTTCTCTGAAAGCTACTGTCCTCATCACGAAAGGTAGCTTGAGCTACCTGAGTTCTCCTTGCTTTAGCAAAAATGTATTACAATCAGGAGTTGGGATTGTGCATTGAATTTGGTCCTGTAAGAGTTGATTCTGTTCGTCGGGGGGGGGGGCCCGCCCCCCTCCCTGGATCAAATCCCCCCTGCGCCGGTTCACGCCGTCATGGACTTCTACCAGGGTTACTTGTGATTGCCTGCTACCTTTCGTTCACCCCCTCCTCTCTCAAGTTGTGACTCCGTGTGCCGTTGCAGCGATGGCCATGCAGTGCTGGCCGAATTGAATGTGGGTATATGATAGATCAGTTCGGACACCTTGGCAAGCTTATCAGCATCAAATCAATGACCTCAGCGGTTGTTCCCAGTGAAAATGCTTTGCGTGCGCGATTCGATCTCGAATCCAAGTGCTTGTTCTAGTTTGGTCTTTTGTGCCTGTGATGCCTGAGATGGTAAGGGTACTGAGATGTCCTAAGAAGCATTCAGCGATGCCGCTTCAGGGCTGCAGGGCTGATCACAAGAGCTTGAAAGAGGCTTGCTCGCCCCCGAACAGTCATCAGGTCTCCTGATTCCTTGCTGATTCGTTTCGCGTTGTTCTCTAAGTCGATCACTTGTTGAATCAGTTGAGACTGGATTGCAAAACACTTCGAAAGCTTTTATGTTAGTACGAATGCACGGCGCAACCTGTTTGTGCGTGCCAACCCTGGTTCCAGGCCAAGCATCGCTTGCTTTATCTCGATGGAGTGATCGATAGTGATCGTCTTCGTCGGTTGGGGAGGTTCGATTGAGCACCGTGTACTTCCGGTGTTGGAGGAGCCACGGTGGATTTTGACAGGTCTCTCTTCAGCGACTACGGTTTGGGCGTTCCCCGGTTGTGTTGGCGTCCCCTCTCATAGTTTGTTCGGGGTCTTGAACGGGGTCTTGAAGTCGTGTTCTGTGCCCGGACCTGTCCAGCTTCGTTTGCGTCCGATTGTCCTGTTAGGTCGGAGGTCATCGCTATTTGCTTCATTTTGTCGCTCCACAGTTTTCTTGCTTTCGGAGGGTGGGGGCGGACAGGGCGCATAGCATGTGCATGCATGTGCTACCTACGACAACCGCAATGTTGTTTGGTCTATGATGCTGGTATAGTTTTGGTCAAACTGGCTTGATCAAGTGCAGGGTCCAGAAATACGTATTTGTTGACACCTTCAGTTTTCAAGTCGATATTGGCAAACAATTGTTGTGGGCACAAGACGGGGAAAATGCAGTGGTTTCTTCTTTATATGCATTTGCATCATGTTGCATCCCATCTCTTGGTATCCACCGGTTCAGCTTGGGTTTTGGTCGGGTGCGGGCCAGCTTTCAATGCATACTTTGTTGGCCGATGCACAAGCGCTGAGTCCCTTGAAGTATGTCGTGGTTTGTGTTGTGAGCATCCCACCGTGTCCACCATAAAGCGCCCACTGATTTGTGAGATTCCAACAACTTCGCAGTCAGCTTGCAGGAGTATGATGCGAAAAGCATCGCGTTCCATACGCTCAATGGCATCGACACCATCAAGCTGCAAACAGAGATTCGCCACATTTATTGTTTTTTTGCTCCGCAAATAACACTCAAAGTCATGTTAGCTTACATTTTGATAAAGCAAACTTCTCTATGTTGAAATGCCAGGTTTTGTTTTTTTTGTCTTGGGTGAAAACCTGCAAGCCCCACTCAGAGTTTCTCATCTTCAGGACTCGGCAGCTTTTGACGAAGCTCCTGAAGTGCACTTTAAACATGAAGGAGTGCTGATGAGATCAGCGGCTGATAGTTTAGAAACTGTTGTTCATTGTGTCCTTGCGTTGTGTCCCTTTCTTCTGGTGCTGCAAAACTGAAAGTGGAAGGTGCAAGACATTGAAAGTCAGTGCCAATGAGAAATTGTGAGGCACTGCTGAGAAGCTAATCACAACGAACGAGATCGCGATCTTGGGAACTGGGGATTTCAACACCAAGAAGTACTGGCAGATTCTTAGTTTGAGCATGTGAGCAGATGGCAACCTTTTATGCTGAATGTGAGGAGAAGACGTGAGAAGCGTATCCGCATTCCTTGTTATTTTGCCCTGTGGATTTAGGGTAGTTAGATTCCACACATCAGACCGGGTGGTAAGCCAGCAAACTGGACCTTCCGACACAACCAACCAGGCCCAGAGACATACGTTGAAATCGTTTATTTTAAGCTGGCAAGCTGGGAGACATGCAATAAGCAGAGTCTTCATCAAGGCCACAAAGGGGGGAAACAGCCACAGACAGATGAGAATGCCTCGAACCGATCTCGTAAAAGCCCAAGCTGCGCAACGTGGGCAGTGATATGGTAGACGGTAGATGATGGTCTTCGTTTGATCGGTAACGGTTGATTTGTATGGTCGAGCGGCTTGCAGTGCAAGCAGTCTGCAAGCAGCAGTGCATCGGTGTCTATCGCTCTCGGGGTCTATCGCCCGAGCGACGAAATTGCGGCGACAAAATCAGAGTTGGCGAAGCCTTGCTTTTGTTCCGTAAGCCATCCATGCCGCACACAAGCGTCCGTTTTGGCCCAGTCTTGGCGCCCTGCGTTTGTTTGTTTGGTACGCAAGGGGATTTTACACTGCAGGTTTATACAAGGGGTTGGAAGTATATAGTAACTGTTCAACACAAGTTAGTCAGTTAGTCTTGTTCACTGAAGCCGTTTGTGTCAGCTTTCTGTGTCTGAGCCCCAGGCGATGGAGCAAGGCCTTCAAAAATTCGCGCAACCTGGCCCCCGCTTTCATGCGCGCAGACAAGTTCGTGCGTGACCCAGCACCGGAGTGCCGCACAAACCCAACAGACAACCCTTCCGGCTGCGGCAAGGTGCCTCGACGAAACCATGAGCGAGCACGATTTTCGGACTTTGAAATCTGTGATTTTTGCGACCTGCAAACGAAAGTTCTGCCAGGCGTGTGTTTTCTGCATGCAAGCTGCTGATGGAGACGCCTGCCCAGCCAAGTCCAAACACAACGACATCAGCAAGGGCATTGGCCTGAGCCAGGCTTTTTGTGGTGGTGGTGACAGGCTACTTGGCTGACTTGACTCTTCTCAAAAAGTGTGTCATGCCTTGTCATGGCCAATTACTCTCAACAAGCTAACCGCGACCTTTCGAAGTCTTTTGGATCTACAGCTTCAGTTGCTTCAGAAAGGGAAAAACAATCTTTGACTTTGACTTCCAATGGCCTTGGCTGAGTGGGCACTTTTCTGGGATGAGGAATGATTGCAGCAGCAGCGGCAGTTGGGCAGGGGACAGTCGGACTTTGGTTTGGGGCCACCTCAGGCGCGATTCCACTGGACAAATTGCTTCGCTAGACGACACGTGCTCATGGTACCTCAAATGTGGGATGATTTTTAGCACTTTGCTTCATTTTGTCGCTCTTGGCCTCTTTGTTGCCTCTCTCAACGATTGCTCCTTTTCTGCTTTTGTTTGGCGTGTAGTCCTTTTTGGGTACCGCCCCACCCGGGCGACGCGGACTGTGTGCAGAAACGTGTTGTCGGAAAGTATGTGGGGTGAGTGGGTTGGAGGGATTGGGGTGGTGAATGTTAGACGTGGGGGTTATCCATTTTTGCAAGGCAGCATTACAAACATTAACGCAGGTTTGAGGCAAATACCAGAATTGTATAATTACTGTGGCGTGTTTGCTGAGAGGATGACGGTGTCGGATGTTTCGACGGTTAGGTGTTTGTTTTTGTTGTTTCGTTTGTGTTGTGTGGTGGGGAATCGCTGCATAGGGATTTGCAGTGTTTGGGACCCCTCATTCATGTGAACCCTTGTTCGTTGGATCAATATATTGGTATGATATCTTTACGGAGTCCTTTTTTTGAATTACACCCTAAACTTTGTTGTGCAAACATGTTTGGTTCCGGACTGGTCTTGGGTTAATTGGTTCTTGTTGGACCTACCCGTGAGCATTTGTTGCGTTGTTGGTTGCAGTCCTGTCGAGGGAGAACCCCCTATCGAGTTTGGATGAGTGCACGTTTAGTTTTTTGTTTTGTTGCGATGCTTGCTTCGCTCACGCGCAACGCCGATTGGAGCCGAGCATCCATGCAGCGCGATGAAAGTTGGTGTTACTTGACCAGCAAAGCGCATGAGATGGCCCCAGAACTCATAGCAATTCCAGAAGAGGATGAGCGTTGGAAATTGGAGACACGACCCTCACTGAGAACAGCTCCATCAAGGCCTTGAAGGCAGCAGCGTATTTTTGCAGGGTGATGAGGCGGCGAAGGAGAGAACCTTCCAGAGACTGAAGCGCACGTGTCTTGAGGCTTAGAGAAGAAGATCAGTTGAGGCGGCGCGCGAGCAGTTCCTTCAGTCCACGCCAGCACCACATGCACCTGACGCGCCAAGCCAGCCTGCATAGGAGGAAAGAAGGTGACGCAATGCGAAAAGGATTGACAGAAGATCGAGGAGAGCTCATTGAGAGAACTTCTAACGATCCAATGCGAAGATTCCATGGTTGTTGTTTGGGCTAAATGGGTGCAAGTGGAGGCTTTGAGGAGAAACCAAGGTCTTCTAGCGTGTGGAATTAGCCTTTGACATTGAGCCAGCGTTGCAAGCAGCTGCGCGTATGGCACAAAATATCACACGAAATCGCAACACGGAGACTTTGCTGCAGTGAGGCAAGTACTACGACAAAGCAGTTCGCACTCAACGGGGAAACCAACGCAGAGCGAGGGAGAAGCAGACGCTGCTTGTGGCGGCGGCGGTTTTCCTGCGCTCCACCGAGACAGTCGTCCACTACGTGGGCAGCGGATGAAGTAAGAGGGTGCAAGGCGCAAGGTTTGAAGGAGGGCCCCTTTCCTTCGCTGCGAGCCATTTCATCAGGTGCGGCTTCAGCGCGTTATGCTCACGCAGACATCGCCCAATCTTGGTAGGAAATAGACGTTCCTTCGCTGTCGCCGATGCCCACATGCTGGGCCGCCTGGAAAGCATGGCGCTGCTCAGCGAGCGAGATTGGTGAGGGGATAGCAGCGGGACATTCGACAAGTTTCGGGGAGGAGCGCAGCGGATAAAACGGAAAGCCCGCAGCGTGGACAGAATGTGCCATCGGAAGAGAAGATGCAGGCACATGATCAACAAGAGACGTAGTCTAGTTACAACCGCCAGCAGTAATGCAAGATACACGATGTTCAGCGGATTATTTTTTCTTAGTGCTTGAAACGCGTTATATATATATATATAGGAGCTGAGGTTTGGTATCGACGCCTGGAGACCTCAACACCCAGGAAATAATGTCAGCATGAAAACAGATGATTAACGCCCTGGAAAAAATACATTTTATCTTGGTGCTGGAGGTCTGGGCATGATTCACCTGTGCTTGAGGTCTCCTGGTGCTGCGTTTTTCTCAAAGCAAGGGGGTGGCATGACGACGAACGAGTGAACAGAAGAACAAGCGGTGCAAGCAGCTAAACAAGCTAACTCTGCAAACATGGAGAGATACCAGGTGGCGCCCACTCCACTCCTCCGGGCTCACACTCGCCTACTGTTCCCTGTGCTTGGCATCGAGATGTGACTCCGTTTGCCGCTCCGATCCAAAAAGATCGTCGTGACAATACCGCACCCCCTAGCGACTGAAAATCCTGGAGAAAGCAAACTTGGAAGGCCACCAGCCTTCAAATTTTTTCGTAGAATTTAGAAACGCTCTCTTTGATGCCTTTTCCATGTTTTGGGGGCCCGGGGTGGAAGGATATAAAGTGCCAGTGCCAGAAATGTCTAAGGGAAAAGGTGCCTGAGGCTTCCCTAGAAGGACTCCGACATGTTTGCGCTTAAAATCTAGAATCACCCCTCTCTGACAAGCTGGCTCCTTCTTACAGGCGATTGGCCCTAAGGAGCTTCCTCAGGCGATATTGCAAGGTTGCGACTCCTGGCATAAGAACGGGAAGGCGCAAACAACCTTGAACAATTGCGAAATCTGAAAATCACATTTTTCAAGTAACGCCGGTGATGCTTCTGAAGCAGCATGTGAAAATGTGAGTTTTTACATTTATGAATCGCTGTGCAGCAAAGCAGAAGCCTTCAAAAATCCCGTGGAGTGGCTGAGTCAAGATTATAAGAAGGTAATTGCGCAAGCCGCATGCCACTCTGCACATCGCTGTGCGAAATCTTCATTTGTCATGTCCTTGAGCCAACTAGTTACAGTATAAACCATATAAACGGCTAAAGATGACACCGTGGGTTGCTTGGTGGGGTCAATGCCTCCGGTGGCTCCCCGGTACCGGTGCCATGAAATCTTTGAGAAGAAAAAGGCGATATCTTGAGTGGCTCGAGGTATAGGATTTCATAACAGGACTTTATAAGGTGACTATGTTGTGACTGTTTTGGTGAGCCTTGAACTTTAGGAAAATAAATGAAGCACTTGGCTCATCCAAGCACCTTAGCTCCAGAAAATTTCGGAGCCTCAGACCCCAAGAAAAAATAACCACCAGAGCCTCAGCCACCAAGGGCTTTATACATAAAGTCCTGGTGCAAACGGTCAGGTGTCCAAGCAAGGTAGATATACAAGGAACGCAGCGGGAACCACCGGCATACGCTTTGCGTTTGCCGCCGATGCAAGAGGCTATACATACCCCAAACGGCTATGCGTGTCAACAAAACTGTTTGGGTGGAAAGTTTGCCGACAGCATTGTTGCGAGGACGCCGCGTGCCAACTCAAAAGTGTTAAGTTAAGTGTAAGGGACTGTGCGCAAAAATGGAAGAGAGCAGCGCGTCGTGAAAAAATTGACGCGCGCAAAGTTGACAGTTTCGACCTGCGCAGGAGCGCCAAGAGCTACTTGGCGCACAGTTGCAGAAAAATTGGACGCCGTTTCATTTTTTGTTGGCATGTGCAAATGAGGCCCCTACAAAATCTATGAAATGGACGATGGAGGCGATGTTTTTGTGAAGGAGAGCGACGGCGAAAGTTGGGCGTTGGTGATGAAGCTTTCAAAGCAACTCGCAGGGCAGAAATACGCAGAGCCGAGCACGTGCACATATGCATGTTATTTGTTTGCAGCAGTAACTAACTGCACTGGGCGTGCCTTCGTTTGCTTTGTCAAACACCTTTGGTGACCACTCATAGTTTTGCAAGCGAACAATGCAACCAAACAACCCAGGAACGATTTCTGCCACGGCAGCCCCAGGTTGCTCAGCTCAGCTGGTTTCGCTGGCCTCGTGAGTTTGGTTTGCCCTGCCAATTGATGCATTGTGTCACCGTTGTTCTTTTGCGCAAAATTGGGCAAAAAAAATTGTCTGAGGTGGACTGATCAACATGCTTTCCACGCAGACAAGATGTTAGATGCCAGCATGCCCAAACATATGGAATCTTAATTGCAAGAAATCGCAAGTGTCGGCTTGGACACTGAGTGATTGTGGGAGTTCAAGTTTGGTAGCGCAAACATTGAGGAATACGATGCGAAGAGCAAGATGTTCCACACTCTCAAGACGACGGCGATCAAGCTCCAGACGGACAAACGTTACCAAATATGTTTTCTCAGCAAAAGACTCCAAAACATCAAAATCCATGTTCACATGGTTTTTGTAACATGAAAGGTCCCGCAACACGTGTTTAGAACATAGATGCTGGACGTAGCAGTTTGTTCAACGACCTTGTTTGGTGTTTTCAGATAGTCGCAGGCATTGTGCAGAAAACATGTTATACATGTCCGATGTTCCACGGAATCCATTGTCTCTTGACAGCATCTGAATCGCGGCTGCTCCAGAACAAGAAGATGTTTGAAGATGCAGTTGAGGTGCATTTTGAGGAAGAAGGCGCGACATATCGAAGTTTGGATCATGTCGTAGATTCATACTCTGACTCTGAACCAGTGAAATTCTTGAAGCCAGACCGTTTGATGTGGAACAAGTGCAGGATTGTTTGTTTTTTCAGGCATTAGTCGTCTTTTTCTTTGGCTTGGGTTCTGAGGTACTCCAGAAACACTGATTACCACCAACCAAATCAAGATCAAAGCCAAAGGAGGGTTCAACACCAAGAAGTATTGGAAGTGGCCGCCTCAGCTTGATAAATTTGGGGCGCTCCCCTAGTCGATACTTTCAAATCGCTTGACGTGTTATGTGTGGCCCGTGGCGCCCGTGGCTTTAGCCCCATCATACGCCGAACCTGCAAAATCAGCCTTTGCAGAGACCCTGTGCCACGTAATGTGACTTGTTCTTGCGATTCCAGTCAAGTGTAGCAATAAGCAGCGCGCAATTTCAGACAGGCGCGGCGAACCATCAAACAAAGTTGCAAGCGCTCTACTTGTCATGGCACAACTTTTTGAAGATTATACAATTTAGTTTCCTTGCCATGATAAGGGACAGCATGTCAGCATGATGCCGCGTGAGCATTACGCCCTTACAATCTCAGCATGTTTGCAAAAGCTTGTTCTGCCACCTGCTCCGCAGCCTGCTCCAGAAGCCCTGAAACCTCTTCCAGAACTTGGTCTGGAACCTGCTCCGGACCCTTTTTGCCTCCTCCGGATTTCGCTCCCTTGCTCCGCAACTTGCTCCGCAACTTGCTCCGCGAACCTGCCCCGAAGCACTGCCTAAGCTTCGCTGTGGAAAAACTATTGAAACCGTTATTCTTTGCTCAAGCCGACCGATGTCATGAGATTCGTTGCCGTGTTCGAGGAAGTGGGAGGCCCAATACGGCAATTCCAGGCAGCTTGCCCCTGCTTTTATGCGTGCTGACAAGTTTGTGCTCGACCCGGCGCCTGAGTGCCGCAAAAATCCAGAGAAAGGTCCGTCTGGTTGTGGCAAGGTGCCTTGACTGCCTTGACTTGATCGCAGTATCTAACTTTGCTGTGCCTTGTTTGTTTGATGTTTTGTTTGTTTTCCATTGTTTGTTCATTGTGCCAATGCAGGCATGCGTTTTCTGCTTCCAAGCCGCTGACGGTAATGGATGCCCAGCACATGTCAAGCACAACGACATCAGCGTTGGCATTGGCCTGAGTCAGAATTTCTGCGGCGGCGGCAACAAGAACTTTGGCTGAATTTCGCGTGCCACAAAGTTCTTTCGAGCTGGATACTTCCAAGATTCCAAGGTGTTTAATGGCGTTTATGTGGTCAATAACTGGGTTTGAGGCAAGATTGCAGCAGCAGTGGAAATTGGGTGGGTGATGCGCAAACATTGGTTTGGGCGAAGTGGAGGCCAGAGAAGTCACAATAAAGTATAATGCGCACAATGCCCGGTTAACCAAAAACAAAGCATGCCTTTGCGCTAGTTGCAAGAAGCATCCATCTGGAGCTTGCGCCGGCGCTCGTCATATGGGCAGCTTGACTTGGTTTTGTCATGAATTGGACAGTCTAGGAGGGCGAACCTGTCGCCGATTTGTCCATGGCCACTTTGCAATCGAGGCTCTTGTGGAGAATTAGAGCCCGACGATTGCGATACCCACTATGTCAAGGTGAAAGCGGATGACGGTACTGAAGCCTATTTGCAATGCAGGACTGTGGGTGGCCAGTGCGTGCACACGGGTCCGCCTTGCTTTGGAACTTGCAGCTTCGAAGCAACGAGTTTCAAGCAACGTCAAGTTTTATCAAGGTCAGAGTGGCTGAAAAGCACCGAATTCTCTATGCAACATGTTAAGTTTCGTCATACTCGCCAGAAGTCGCAGCTGAGGCCTTTGAAGGCACCCAGAGCTGTTGTGAAGCGGCCAGGGACCAGAGATGAGCAGAAAAGGTTTGAAAGATATAGACATGGTGAGTTGAACGCAATTCTTTATTCGTTTAGATATAAGTTTCCATGGATAGCAGTTTAATAAATGAAAGGATCCCAACTGGGGTTACATCCATATCAATCTCCTTCATCGCAGATTGTGTATGTCGTTTCTGAGTATGTGAGTTGAGTATGGACCCCGAGCCCATTTCGGCTCCAGACCGACCCAACGAAGTGCCGCCATGGTGGCATGGCTGGCTCTGGCATGGCTGTCACCGGTCGCCGCCATCTCCATGCAGGCGCCACAGCAACGTGTGGAGAAATTGCGTGGATTTGCATGGTATGATAATATAATCAATATCTATGTTAGCATGTTAGTGTTGTGAGAACGAGGTTTAAGCAAAGGGTCGTGCCGTGCTCCCACGATGGCAAGCCCCGTTCACGGCCAAACAGTAGTCACGGCTTCAGCTACATCGCGATTGCCCGCCCAGCTTTTGTTCGAGGCGGCGATCCCAACACAAAAGCTTCTCAAGTGCCGTTTCATAGCTTTGTTGCTCGAAACTCACACTGGTGGGTGGTAAAAGGAGTTGGTGAAAAACACACCTGCCGGCTTTTCCTCCAAAAATTTGGATTGAGCATTGCGGGCTCCGTGAACAAGTCGCTCCGTGCCCTAGACCAGTTGCACAGCACGAACAAGGGAGTCGCCCGAAGATGGCGCCCCAGGCTTTGCCTTCTAGTCACTTCCGACTTACGTGCCAGCAGGCTCCTTGCCCAGCTACGTTGTTGTTCGACCTTGAGCCTCTCTGCTCAAAATCTTCTTCTCCTTTGCTCTTCAACTTCTCATGTTCAGCCGCCCGCGCGCGACATTCCTTCACAGCATGGGGGCCTTTCTCTCTGGTCCCCCGAGTTCGGCAGTCAGCTTCTGTAGAAGCTTGTAGGTATCTGGCCATGCTTCTGTTTGTGAAGAACTTTCCATGTAATCCATGAATTCAGGCCAAAGCGGGGTAGAGCCTTCTAGCATCAAAGATGATGTAGGAGTGGAGATCCCATGCTGTCCATGCTTTATCACCGCTTTGGCGATCAGAAACCAACTGAAGACAGTAATGAACATGGCGACAGGATCAGGAACACAAAAGCCATCGAAGATCTCCTCAGGGGCGGTCTTGGTGTCAGAGGCATAGACATAGATTGTCATGAACATGCAGCTTGCCATCACGGCTGCTAGTGCTTGATTGCATACCGTTCTGCGTTGCATTTTCGGCTTGTGGAGTTTCGAGGGACCCGCTCACCGTCAACGAGCCCGACGGGCCCGACGGGCCCACGGGCCCACGGGCCTGGACGGGCTCAACGGGCCCGACGGGCCCGATGTAGGACAGGGGGTATGGAAACACACGGAATCCATGGGTGTAGAGTTCCAGTCTGATACGAAAGTTTGACGAGGAGACAGATCACTCCACGGAAACGAGGCGGCGCGATGGATCTTGTGCCATTCTTCATACGCAACCCACGTCAATCAGGAGATCAACATCACCTGCGGCTCGCTTCCACAAATTTTACAAGCAAGGAATCAGGAAAACCTCTGGTCATTCGAGAATGTTTGTCTACGTAGATAAACAGCTCAGACACATGCAAAGGAACATGGCTGATAGCCCTCACAAAGGTTACAGAAAAGGAATCAGGGACATATCTGGTCATTCGAGATATGTTCGATCGGGAAGAGAATACTGCTGCTTGACCCGCTCATGTTTTTTCGATGTGCATAAACAGGTCGGAGACATGCAAAAGAACATTGGGCTCAAATCAAAGCCCTCACAACCAAACCATGATATCACACCCTGATACTGTATTTCAAGCCGCAAGCCACAAACCCACGCGCGACATTTGACAAGCCAACAAAACACCGCCCTTAAAACCACGAAATGTTTCTGCCAGCCTTGCTGAGACGATCGTGCCAGGCTCCACCTAGTGCCCAAGCGGACTTTGGCGCAAGCTTCCAGGGAACAAGCTCTATATCTGCAAACAGAATCTGCTAACAAATTGGACAAACTAAATGTACGCAACAAGTGGGCTGTGAGAAGGCATGTCTCAAGGGATCAGCCATCGCCCGTGGTTTCTTTACACTGTCGCAACGAAGCTATCAGTCTTTGGCGCTCCTCTACTCAGAGACATCTCCTCAGCAAGCATGAAACCCAAGCGATTGGCTGCTGGCAGGCTCAGATGGGCGGCTGGCAGGCTGAGACTTTTGAGTGCGACAGGACAACTTGTTCCTTGGAGGGATCCACATCGCCTGCAGCTATCTCAAACACAAGGTTTGCGCAGGCTAGCACAGCGAGCTGCCAGGCTGCCGTTCCCAGTCGCCCTGCAGCGTTTGTCTGAGCCTCACACCTGCCAACTGCTGCCTGAACATTCCACCCAGCTTGAAACGCTGTGAACAAGCTCCGCGCCTCCTCTGACATCTGGATCACCCGGTGTGGCTTTTCGCAGTATGATATGACCTTGTGGGTCACGCTGCTCACATCTTTGTCGGGGCTCACAGCAATGTTCCTGTCTGGGAACCGCAATTCTGCACGGTGCCAGGTGTGATGGGTTTCTTGAATGATCCTGAAACGCAAGCGTGTCTCTACCCCATCGCCCAAAATCACAACAAAGCCTTGGCAGTTTGGCAAAAAGCTTCCCTGCTCTGGGATTTCTCTCTCTGCGCCTTCCTCTTTGCTTTCCTCAAACATCTGCTTTGCATACTCGTACTGCAGACATTCTGGAACGAGTCCCAGAGGCTCCAACATGTTCTCTAAAAGCGGCGCCCACATCCACTTGACTTCCAAGCCTGCTGGAAGTGGGCTATGGGGCTCAACGGGTTTTCCCCGTAGTGTACAGGAACCTTTCAGCGCAAGCCTCCCAGCCGCGCCGCTGAGGACATCAAAAAAAGCCGATGGGTGAGCGTTGCCCACCCCACAAAGGTTGACGACCGTGCCGATATCCTCGTAGCTCTGCACACTCTTGAACTGCAAAGCTGACCGACCCGTTTGCAACACCCTGTTCAGCTCACTAGCAGCATCGAAGGTGCTCTCTGCAGTTCCTGCAAGGCTGGAGATAAATCGGGTTCGATTTCAACGAATATGATTCGAAGCAACAAACATAATTCACAACTACCTCTGTTTTTCGAAATCTTGCTTCCAGGACACGGTCTGAGTCTTAGTTGTCATTAGTCTTCATGTTTGTTTGTATGGGTGAGTTCTAGTAAATAAACGGCAAACGGACTGATTCCTGCTAGCGCCCTTTCTTTCACAGCTCTGAATACTGTCACTAGTTTGTACTTTGATGAATAGAGATGCTGCATGCTCAGGGAGGTATGACGCTGAAAATGATAAAATCAGGTTGAAAGTCATAATTAGACCCTCTGGAAGACAAACCCTTGAACCGCGTTTTGCGAAATCAATTGCGGTTTCACACTTCTGGCTGTCCTTTTCCACTACCCGACAAGCCCAAATACTTCATGAACCTGTAGGCTTCATCGAGGTTCAAAAGGGTGAGAACTGGCTGCTGGCGCATTGCTGAAAGTCAGCGGCGCACCTTTCCCACAGGGCCGGTTCAGTAAATGAAGTCAAAGTACATGATTTCAATTTCATCTTGGTTCGGCCAGCGTGACCAGCTTCTTGTCCAGTCATGATGGTAGATGCTCTCTTCTGGCATGCTTCTTGGATCACATCAGAAACCTTCTGAAGAACGCCGTTCACTTGGGACTTTCGGGTTTGAACCAGGTTCACGTTCAACACTATGGCCGACAAAGGTGTCAAAGCGGACGGCCATATTGACACACAGGCTCCATTTGTCGCGGCCAGGAGCCCTACCTGTAACCCTAGACTGAATGGACACGGATGGTGAGATGACCTCGCCGCCAAAACTTCCACGGCCGCGGCCCCTTTGGGACCATAGAGAGCTGAAGCGTCAAACTGTTTATCTACATGTTCTTGCGAAGCCAGCAAGCGGGCAACGTGCTTAGGATCCTGATTCATCCCTACAGCAGAGTGGCTTTCCCCTTTGAACCAGCGACCGCGGTGAAGACCCACCTAGTGACACCGACAAGACATACTTGCCGACGTTCATTTGTAATATAAAGTACTGCATGCGCCTCCGGCTCCTGCCCATTCACCAACAAAGTGTGGAGGCGCAGACGGCTCCTGCAAGGCTGGCAAATCTGCGGTGACAAGGTTCTCCCCATCAACAAAGGCTTTGCCATGAAAACAGGAGGCTCCACACGCCAAGACTTCCATGATATCGGAGACTTACACACGACCGCGCTGACATGAGTTTCTAAACAACTTCTTTCCAACAAAAATGTCCATCCGCCAGAGAGCTGAGGGGCTCTGGGAATTCACTCACACATTGAGGGATGACACAGCGCTCCGAACACGCGCCCAGACCCATAGAACCCTCCGCCGCCCACACAGCCCAAAGATAAAAAGTCACACATCGGGACTGCAAGGGCGCGCGCTTACGGGCCGTAAGGGGCTTCACCCTCCGACGCCCATGCGCCCCGCCAAGAAAGCAAGCCTGCGGGACTGCCCGGCGCACCCATCTGGCCGTAAGGGTTACAAGGTACAATACAAGCAGGATATGAGCATGCAGCGTCAATTTAGCTGCTACTGAGGATTGTCCGAGAAATTGCACAATGGCCTTCACAAGAAGTCATAGACACCGTTAAAGTTCCTATCTAAAACCAGAACACCAAGCCTCAATGGGATCAAATGAAGCCATGACTATGTAAACAAGCCGGATAGGGATTCATGTCCATACCCGGTCCTCCAACAGATTACTTTCATTTCACCTCACCAGTTCGCTGCGCGGCTCATCGCAAAGAGTTGCGAGAGTCTACGATTTCCTGCAAATAGAAACGGCGAACAGCTCCGCCCATGTTACGGTAGCCGTACTTGTAACGGCGACTGACTCACAGGCACTCGTGTTGAATCCACAG